GTCTGGGCACATTAAGTCCCACCCTTGCTCTTGTTGTGGGGGGAAACATGGAAACTGGAGAAACAGGGAGGAGAGGAGGTGGGAGGGAGGGAGGGAGAAGAGAGGGGGTAAAGAGGCAGTGTATATGCAGGGAGGAGGAAAAGAGGGGAGAAACAGGGGGTCAGAAAGGGAATGGTGAGTACATGAGAAGGGGGGAGGGTTTGATAAACGCTGTGTTGCTTTGTTTAGGTTAGTGGGCCATAAATTCCAAGGAAAAGAAGGAATGGGGGCGAAAACGGGGGAGTGGGATAAAATAACCGTTAAGAGAAGCTTGGACGGCAGAAAAGAGGGGAATGAAGTCATATTTGGAGATGAGAGAGAAGAGGGGAGAGGAGAGGAGGGGAGAGTTTGTTTGACTAAACTGACTGATTTTGCTCGACTCCACCAGACACAGGGCCGTCTGCGTAATATCAACATCCCAGGGGAGTGTGTGTGTGTGTGTGTGTGTGTGTAGCGAGTATCAGCTTTATAAAAAACACCTCCACATTAAGAATCCCAGGGCTACCTCCCAATGAAAGCATCACATGTCCTATTTTGGTGTTTGTCTTCGCAGACTCGAGTCCGTTGGGACTTTTCACTGCACTGTTTTCTTATCACTTCCAGTGGAAGGGAAACAATGTTTGCACCGTTCAAACAACTCTGCAGTTCACTAATCGGAGCAGCAGAACTCACGGTCAGGGTTTCCCACGAGCATTTGTTCAGCGCTGCCCCTTTAAAAGCACAAGTGCCTCTGGGAGTTATGGTCTCGGTAGGTGCTGTAAACCAACCATCCCTGGAAACTGTGGAAAAACTATTGTTTGGTTGTATGAATGCGTAGAAATAAAAGTGAAAAGGAAAGAGTGTTTGGAGGTGTAAGGTCGCAGATCAGCAGGCAGCCCAGAGCTTTAACAACCTCAGTTAAAGCTGTTGGTGGTGCTGCATATTTTAATTTTAATGTAGACCAGTCAAGGCTCATTTATGCTCAGCGTTAGATTCGGAAACTGTCAGAGCCTCCTATCCATACTCAAGAGTTCATTTCCTATTTGCACACGTCTTCTGAATGCTAGTTGAACAACAGGCTACACTTTTGCACGTTAGTTTTAATATTCCATTAATTGCTTCAAGAAAAAAAAGATACGTGTGCATTTTCACCCTTGTCTCAAAAAACGTTTTTGAGTTTTGGTTGTTGTAACCGTGAGATGTATTTCCAGTGTTGCTCCAGTGGAAGAGATAAGCTACAAGATCGACAGTCAAAAATATTAATAATCATTCAGTCCATTAACTGTCAGTGGAAAAGATATGTAGTCATTCTAGATCATGATATTCGAGTTAATTAATTAAATCATTAAATAAATTAATTAATGACGACTTGGTTTACTGACTAACAGTTCTTTGACTTGTCTCTTATACTAAAATGTTGGGGGGGGGGGTACTGAATTATGATCTCAGACATCAAAGCTTAAGAATCCAGCTACTTACATATTCATACAAACGAGGCTTGTTTTTGGAATTAATAATGAAGACATTATATACGACACTGTATTTATATATTCAGAAAGCTCTCCCATGGGAAATGATGGAAAACACGCGACTGGATTGAACTTTCAGGGATCAGGGCTGAGAAAAACCATCCAGAAATCTGACGGACAGACAGATGTCCAACATTTAAATGTCTGTCTCCAGACTCCCACACACGGCCCGTCTGTTAGAGTGATCGGGTGTAAGGTGCGTACGCCATCGCTGTCAGACTGACCATGTGTCTGCAGTCATCTAGTCATCTGCAGACAGGAGGGACACACACACACACACACACACAGGACGAGCGGCTGGCAGACAGACAGACACAGATTAGGATGTCAGACAGACAGATAATAGAACATGGTGAAACACCATTTAGAGGGAAAAGTCAGCTCAGGAGTGTAAGATTTAAATCTCTGCTCACACAGACAGACAGAGGACCAGCATCGTGGTGATGTGAAGATACATAGTCAGGGATGGAGATGATAATCTTAATGGACCGGTCATCTGTCTGTAAGCTCCTGGTTCACACACACACACACACACACACACACACAGACGTACACAACCATGGGTTTATATATCTCGAAAGCTTATAGCGCTCTTGAAATGAAATCAGCTTAAAGAGCAGAGCAGCGGAGAGTTATCAGGAAGGAATGTAAGAAGAGTAAAAATAGTGTCCTTGTCTTTTTGATATGAGTGTATACATACTGTATGAGGCTGAAAGTGACTGCAGCACAATGTCCTCAGGGATTTTATCGAGAGGCTACACACACACACACACACACAACACACACAACACACACACACACACAACACACACACTCACGTAGCCATAAGCAATCCAGGATCAGTAAACCAGAGAAAGTCCCATTCCTGGGGTGTGTGTGTTTGTGTTTGTGTTTGTGTGTGTGTGTGTGTGTGTGTGTGTGTGTGTGTGTGTGTGTGTGTGTTGCAGCTTCATGACAGATGTCTTCTTAACTGTACTAATGTAAACCTCTTCAGCCACTGCCCAGAGCTACACACACACACACAGACACACACAATAGCTCTTTGGACATGTACACTGTAGATCCAGTCCACCTGAAGGCAAATACAAAGGGGCTGAATACACACACACACACGGCTGTCACATTATCTCACTGCAGATAAAACCATTGTTTAAAGTAAATACAACAAAGAGGATCTTTTATGTAAAGTTTCTAAACTCTGTCACTGTAAATACACTTTTCATGACTCATGAGAAACTTTGAAGGAGACAGACAAAAACAGCAATAACACCTGCCTCCGAAAAGTCAAACTTTTATTGAAATTCTTCTTTATAGATTATTTTGGGCATTTCGCCTTTGTTTGGTTGAGAGAGGAAGACAAGGGAGGAGGAGTTTACAGTGGCAAGAGGAAAACTGCAGATTTACTGTGAGCCATCAGTTTTCTGCATCGTTTCATGGCAGAGAACCATTTCTGAGCGTTTGTGTCACGTGATTTGTTGCTAAACGTTATCATCATCATCAATGAGGTGTTTATTACACGAGTGGATATTAATGATCATGAGCTGTAATGTGATGTAGCGTAAATGAAGGAAGAAAGACGGGTTGGAGAAATGTGTGGAGTGAATCTGGGTGAATCCTCCCAGATGGAAATTGTAAACTTGATGGATATGAGGGTTGGATGTGGAGTCTGTTCACAGACCATCAAAACAAGTTGGGGATCTCCACCCTCTTTATTGAGTCATGAATGATTCACAACAAAACAAGATAATTACAGATCTGGCCTTCAGGGAGGTTTTAATTCATGTTAGATTCTGGCTTTACACTCGATAGATCTGCCCTCATCCTTTTAAAATACTACACCTGTGTTAGTCTCTACAAACTCTCACCTGTGAACCAGAAGATCATCTAACACATTTGCTCTCAGAGGGTGAATTAAGTTAAATCTACTGAGATCAGTGAGCGCAGATGCAGAACCTGTCAAATCCATTTTCAAGAACCTGTCCTGCTTAATGTGAACCGACAGGATTTCTGCCCCAATGGTCGTCCATTAGCTCGCTATTAATTTTGTATTAAATAATTTGTGTTTAAAGCTTAGCACTGCCCAACTCACACACACACACACACACAAACAGAGCTCCTCTTTCAGTTTTTAATGATTAAGCAGAAAAATACCTTGTGTCCTTCGTTTTTTTTTGTAACTAAAGTTTATAATTGCTATGTTTTTTGCCACAGCAAAGCCTTGTGGGATACCACTTCCACCAAACTCTGCAGTTACACAGCGATCTCTCTGTCTGTCCCTGCTGTGTGAGGCGTCTGTGGTGTATTTTACTAACCTGTCACTTTCACGAGAAAAAAACAAGTCCCTCATTAACAACCCGCCTCCATGAGTGTGTTTGTGTGAAAGAGATGGAGACAGAGAAGAGGAGAGAATAGAAGAGAAAAGAAGAGAAGAGGTGTATTCAGCTACTGAAGTTGCTCAGAGCTCTTTTTATTAAAGACCAGGCTCAACTCAACAAACAGCACCTGAAAACTTCAAGACTCCCAACAGCTGTGGAACTTCACACAGACAGACAGCGACAGGAAGGGAAACACACAGACAAATGGCAAATGGATTAACTGACAGCCAGGCTGGCAGAGCAGCAATGACGCACAACAGCAACGCTTCAAATATTTCATTGATTCAATACCAGCTTTGTAGAAATGATTTCCAAGGAACGAAGAACCTGAAAGAACCGAACCGATTCCCAACATCAAATCAACTACTGTGTGTTTGTCTAAATATCACTGTGTACGAGGCTGAGTTGTGTGTTCACGTCGAGTCTAAACAATCAGAAAAATTAGTTCTTGACTCCTGTAAAGTTTGAAAATTTCGGTACATACAATTAACAAAATTTTATAATCAACTCTAAATAGTAGTTTCTACTTTTCAGATGTTACTTTAGCCACTTGCAAACTTTAGCCAGGACGTTTTGTGACCAATATACTCCCTATTAATATGTCAATATTGAAATGAGCTGTCAAGGTGTGGTTTAAGTGCTCTAGAAACATAAATAAAACACATTTGGTTGACGGCGCCCATGTTTTTTTCCAACATTCGTCTTCAAAGCACATGAACACATCGTAGTTGGACTTCATAACTCGGGATAAGGGACCTTCTGAGGAGAGTGTGTGTAAATATCAGCTTCTAAAACATGTACAGAGACAACTATTAATGTAAATGAGCTATAAGTCTAAATATAATGGTTAGTAAAGACACAACAGATAAAACATGGCAGGGTTAGGTTGACAAAACTAATAATTAGGGATTAGGGAATGTTAAGATTACTGCAGCTGATCGCTACACATGGAAATAAAGGGAGGTTAAGGCATGGACCCAGGGTTACGTATGACGACACCAAAGACAACGACGATGACAATGACGACGATGACGTTGACAGATGAAGCTCAGCTCGTGGCTGGCCGGTCATAACTCACCCTTCTCAGAGCGCCCCATGTGAGCTGCGTCCAGTAGAAGCAAAGCAAAGAATAACAAGACAGAATTAGATTGGAAAGCATGCACAGGTCAACACATGCACATTAGAGAAAAGCCTGGGATGCAATTTTCTGTCCGAGCCCAGTGTTTTCCATGATTACAGGCAGATGCCGTTTAAAAAAATCAAGCAGATAGCCCAGCCAGGATTTTTTATTTTTTTTGTCCTTACCCTGATTTGCAATAAAGTTTACAGTTGAACTGTGAGAAGGTGAAGTGCACAGAGTTTTCTGCAGGTCATTAGCAACCACACACACTCACTGCCTTAGTAGGCAGCCATGTTGTCATAAAACACGGTGCCTATAAAAAGGCATTCAACCCGCTTGGAAATGTTCAGGTTTTACTGTCTTTATCGTCTTTACTGCAACCTTTGACAAGTCTGGCTTCTCCTTATAAGAGAAACGGGATCTTGTAAAAAATAAAAACTGTAAATATCTTTGCAGAAATCGCCAAGTTTTAACATACAGACAGTTTAAGAGGAGGGAAAAGAACCAGGGGGTCTCAGAAATAATCTGCAATGAAAGCAAACACCTAACAATAAATGTTCAACCTCTCGTTTAGCACAAATTGGTATTTTTAAAAGTTGTGTGGACAACTGTAACTTTAACCTTTGACCCACACGTCCGACCTCAACCTTTCCCCTCAGCTTCACCCCCCTAAAACGAATGGTTTTCCCAAGACTGTCGTCACCTGCCTGCGTCTTTTAATGTCTCTCTCTCTCTCTCTCTCACACACATAGCCTCCATTACATATACCATTATTACCACACACACACAACTACACAACTGGTGCCGAGGCCTCTTACATCTGTGTGAGCGTGAGTCAACGAGTGTGTGTTTGCGCACTGTAATGTAATTAATCAGCTGAGAGTGTTGATTACTTAATCTGTCATTAGCCAGCCGTGTGTGTGTGTGTGTGTGTG